GCAGACCACCCTCAGGGCTTGAGCTGCAGCCTGACTGCATATTCAAGCAGCAAGCTCTCAGTCCCCCAGGAATCCCCACCCCCATAAGCAGACAGTTCCTGCTGGGGTAGAAGAGGTCCCCAAAGCCCCTGGAAGCACAATTACACCTTTATTGCAGCAGCTTTTGGGTCAGCGCTGTCAAACACCACTCACTTTAGACTAGATGCAAGAAGTTTTGAAGCCTTTTATTTATTAGCAATTAAATTATTCAATTAACACTAACCTCCAGACAGCAGTTAAAATATTGTACAAAGAGCAGCTTGCCCTCTAGAAGCTCTGTACACAGTTCAATATAAACTTACACTCTAAGATTGAATGCACCCCACTGAAAAGGGGTAAAGCAGCTGTGCACAGGAGGCCTTGCCGAGGTGCTGTACTACCCTTGAAATGCACAAGACCTCCTCCCAGGGAGTTTGCACAGTACAGACACAGGTCCTGTCCCCCCCACCGTGTTTCACCAGGTCCTGGACTGATGAGGTTCTTGCTTTTTTTGCAGTGGTGCTGGGCACCAGAACTTCTAGTGTATGAAACAGATTATTTTAAAACCTGTTACTAGTGTGCAGTTCAAATCAAATCTGTAGATATTTCAATGGCTCTTAATTCCTTAAACCATAAGGTTGTTAGCAAAACAGGAGAGCAAAATTCCAAACACACTGCACAAAACATTGAATAAATACCTCTGAGTAATGTTACCAGCTTAAACAATTGAATTAATGCTCCAGAGACAGGAATACTTCTGGAATCTCTGACCAGAGCTCAGGATTCAAGGGAGTTACTTCAGTAAAAGAAAAGTCACCTTATGAAAAATTACATCTTTACAAAAGTGACACACCCTTCATTTAAGAGCAGAACATTGCCATTACTGACTGTGCTTTTAAGCATTCCCATGTCACAATAAATAAAACCAGTTTTACTTGTGCCAATGTTACCTACGAAAGAAAGTATTCACAGAACAGCCGAAGGTGTTCTCCTCATACACCACAACCTAATATAGGTGCATTCAGCAATCGGGGCAGCTCGAAACCACAGCAGCTTACTTGGTCCACACAGGACCCACCAACAGCTGTCAAAATTACTCCCCTACCTATGGGACTGCAGATCAGGTACCACCAGATGACTGTGGAGATGCTTAACATCCTGGTTGATAACATGTCAGTTTTTCAGGAGACAGAAGTAAAATGAAGGAAAATGTTAAAATGGATTAAGACTTATTTGTATCAGTCACAGGCTCATTATTGCATTTTAATAAATATCAGGCAAGTTAAAGTAGTTTCTGTCCCAGTAGTTGCCAGAATAAAGCCAGTCCTGCGTACCAGTATAGGGATTGGGGCCTTGGTGGAACCATCTGCAAGGAAACACACAGCACATTAGTGAAGCCATTAACACACACATTTACAAAGTTCAGAACTGCTTTGCTGCATCTTCAGCAGTTTACTCTCAAAGTAATTACTGGGACTGCAGAAGCCTTCTTGGTTTTAAATTCACTCATGAGTTTAAAGTCATCTTCAGCGGCTAGGTCTCCCATTCACCACACCACTTCAGTGTCTCCTAGGTAAAATTAGTGACACCAGTATTTTGTCACTTGAGGCAGTCAAGACTATCACATAAAGATGGGGAAGCACCATTTCACTTCAAAGCAGTTGTGAACAATCATTTTGGCATGCATAAGCAGTAACAGTTTTTGCAAGACACGTAAAACACCACAAGCACTGCAGTCCTGAAAACAGAAAAACATTATTTCCCTGGGATCTAGATTTCCTCTTCGTTTTCAAAGCCTACTCAGAACAAGTAGGCCAGCTACCCTCTGTGTAGGTGAAATCACCCACAGGCTGCAGAAGTCCTGCCTTATTACAAGGTAACTGTGCTGCATTACACTGTCAGCACTGGCGGGGCAGAAAGCCGATTCTGTCTGCACCAAGTTACTTGCAAGCTTTTGCAGAGCTGGTTGCAGCCAGGAACACTGAGGTTTAGCACCTTTCTTTCTTTCCTTTCCTTCCCTTCCCTCTCCTCCGCTACTTAATCTGCAGGCACTGCATATACACACACAGAGTACATGTCCTTGTGGTGGGGGGGGCTGTCTACCTGCACAACAAGGTGCCTCTGCAAGGCCAGACTAGTGTCTAGTGGTGAGTACAGCCCTGCTGTACCACCACAGCACAGAAGTTTTTCCTTCTTCCTCCTCTCCTGCAGCCCGTTACTGAATGCTGCGTTGTTTGGGCCCAGTTACTCAATCTTCTGCCTCAACAGCACACGCTGCACAGCACCAGACCTCTAGCATTTAACTTCCTGTATTTTGCCAAGCTGTGTTTATGGCGCATCAGCTTTGCTAGAAGCCCCTTCTGTGGTTAATGCGCTCCACAGCTTCCTTTCACCTCACTGCCACAAAAACTAGTTCCTGCCTTATATGCCTCACTGCAGCAAACACACTCACTTCAGTAAATCATGCGTGTGCAAGGCAGCCCATTTTAACTCTGCTCTTCCCTTCCAGGCTACCAGGTTACAGAACACAAATTAAAGCGCAAATATGACTCGATCTCTTTTAAAAAGCAAAAGCATAAAGGTCACCAGTGTCACATTACAAAGCAGGGCAGCTAACAGGCAAGTCTTGCTTGGCTCAAAAGATCTGAGATGCACGTCTGAAGAAATGCCTTGTACCGTCTTCAGGGTGGCAACCTGAACAGCTGAATGGTTCTCCTGCTGTCCTGGTTACGTGCACTGAAGTCAACAGAAGACAGAAGTCACTCACCCCTGCCACGGTACATAGTTCACTACTGCATCACCTCTGCACAGGATGCCTCTGCTATTCCAAAGTAACTGCTGTGTGTGCCTGGTTCACCTGTGAGCTTGCAGGTAACAGGAGCTCATCCCACAGCACAAAGCCAAGCATTTGTTGAGAGGCAGGGCTAGGAGCTGGCTCCTCAGCCCTCGGATTAAGGAATTTTACCACCCAGGACTTCACTAGCTATCTTCAACACTTGTATGGGTCAGGACAGTGAGCCCTTCCTCCAGTGCTGCTACTGCTTCTAAAGGTGATGGGAAGAACTAAGTTTGAGAGAGACCCAAAGCTATCAGCTGATGTAGCCAGGTAAGTGATGGGGGAAGGAGGGAACCGATTTTCATCAACAGCAACAGACCACTGCTGTGTGTCAGAACCGGTCTTTTACTCAAGACTTAGGGCTACTGGTCAGTCTGTAAAACATCAAGTGGTCAACATGAATCATTTATTCAGAAACAGCAAGAACCTGCTTCTCAAGTGGATTCAAGAGAATTTAAAAAAATCACTAGACACTTTGGAGAATCGTCTGACAAGGTAGGAACTCTACTAGACAAAGTAAGAAGCCTGCTTTTCTGTGGCAAGCAAACTGCAGTAGTTTACATCAGAGTTTGTATTACACGCTGCAGATTAGGAGCTACAGTTGACCACCTGGGAACAGGCAGGAGAGTTTCCCTTCACAGTATGCAATTTTTTTTCCCCAAAGCAGAACTCTTCCCACACACTGCATTCATCCTTTGAAGGCAGTGACACTTGGCACTCATAAAGAGATGAGACACCAGGAAATTTCTGTCAAACCTTTAGAAACATCCTGGAAAACAGAGTTTTTAAAAGATGTCCCAAGCAAGTGCTGAGCACGTCTATGGTACCTGCACAACAGCAACCGAAGAACCTTGTCAATGGTGTCTGCACTGATCACACACCCCAAAAACCACTGCTCTGAGTTGTCCCCTGAGGATTCCCCAATTTCCAGTACCAACCTCAGGTGCTTTGACCTATACCTTGAGGTATTTCTGGCACCTGAACATAGAGTACAGCTACCCCTTGCTTTGAAAACACTTGGTGAGAGCTACAACCACTCTGAATTCAGGAAAGGAAGACAGAGTGCAAGGCTGTCCAGCACTTAACACGTCTAGTTGGAAGCATTACAAAGATGTTATTTTCCACCAGTCTCTGGGCAAACAAACCCAAACACTTCAGGAGAGCAGGCACAGGAAAAAGACAAAGGCAGACATGTCCAAACCTGGGACTCTGCGATGAAGGGTGACTTCATTTGAAAAAAAGAAAAAAGTTATTTAAAGTTACAAACAGACATTTTCAAGATATTTAATCCACAGTGTCTGGATGTATTAAGAGCTAGTTAATGGGGAAGAGATGAAACTTGCTTACTTTTAGCAAGTTTAGTCCTATCTTTTTTTTTTTCTGAGAAGAGCCTACCAATTTATTACTATACTTTTAAATAGACCTTGCCTGGTCAAGCTAGATTCATTTGGTCATGTTTTCACAATTTCTACTGAGCTTGTGTGTAACAGCTCCCAACTGACCCCTCTTGTCTTAGAGCAAAAATAATAATAAACAAACCCAAAAAAACCCCAACAAAACCAAACCACAACAACAACAAAAAACAAAACAAAACAAAACAAAAAACATCCCATTCTGGCAGATCTCTTGTAAGTTAATTTTTCCCTTGGCTCTCCTAACTTCTGTAGTTAGTAACACACTAAGAAAGGAGAAAATGACTTGGATATCTGGGTGATAAAGTCGTTTCACCAACTTGGAGAATAACTGTATGCAGTGGGAACGCAGCATGGCCAGCGCACAGCAGCTGATGGCAGAAGTCACTATCAGTGATAGCAGTAAGCTATCAAGCTCACCAGAGGAAGCACCTTCTCCTCTCTTTGGCCAAGCACACAAATTTGAGGCAATTATAAATTAATCAGCGACAACCATCCTTACAAGCAGCCATCAGTTGCAACACCGTTTTGTGTCAGAACCTGTTTGTATTTACTAGGGGTGTGCAAGCAGCGAGGGGGAAGGAAGCGAGGCCAAGGCTGATGCTTATCTCTGGGAGCACTACAGCCTGCATGGACCAAGTCTGCAAACACAACCATGGTGCTACCAAACCTGGTGACGTCAGCTCTTCGGCATGACACAACGCTGCATGTCACCAGTGTCAACTGGCAGTTACCTCCACGTTCAAAACCCTTATACACCTACACACACACACACACACACACACACACACACACACACACACACACAGAGGCGAGCACACTAACCTCGTCTTCCAGTCTTCCTCTGACTTTGAACGATTTTTGCGAGCAGTCCTTTGTTTTTCTTCTAGCCTCTTCTTTTCCTCGCTAGCTAGATCTTGAAGGAGTAAAAACACACAATAAAAATACGGAAGACATTGAAGTGTAATATAAGATAAGAGACATTACTCCATTTGACTCAGCAAACAAATAAGGGAAATAGTGAAAGCTGTCAATTTAAAAAGCCTTCTACATAACACACTACTTAGGGATAGTCTAAGGGCAAAGCCAGGCCAGCTGTGGCTCAAGATCAGCCAGTGGAATTCCAGTTTTTAAGACTGCTAAATACATGTTTAGTCATGGCCTGAGGACTCTGAAGATGTGTTTATGTGACAGGAAATGTGAATTTAAGGGAGAGAATCAAAGAGCAAAAGCAAAAATCCTCATGAGTTGAGGAAAAGAGTTTAATAAGTGAAGGGAAAGGAAAAAAAAAGGAGGAAAAAGTGATGCAAAGACATTCACTTACTGCCTTCCACCAGCAGACCTGTATCCAGCCAGTCTCCAAGTAACAGCTACTTGCCCCCAGCACACACAACTCATTGGTAAGCATGATGTTATATGGTATGAAATACCTCTTTGGTCAGTTGGGGCCAGCTGTCCTCGCTGTCTCCCCTCCCAGCCTCTTGCCCGCCCCAGAAACAGAGGCAGCCTTAACACTGCAGCTGGTGTTCAGCAATAGCTAAAACACTGCTTTGGTCACCAATATAAATCACATATGAGCTGCTATGAAGAAAATTAACTCCATCCTGACGAGCCCCAGTACAGGTGGATGCCAAACCTTTCACCAGACATACCACCACCTGCAGAAGCTTGTATTAAAGCATTACTGTATTGCGGCATGGAGGAATATATCTTTATAGGTAGCGACTTTAACAGTTCATCTAACAACCCCAATGTGGAATTTCCTTTTTTCCCAGTCCCTCAGTTTTAACAAAAAGTAAAAACACCTTTGCCAGTAACTGAAGTTACCTATTTCTCCGTTTTCCATGGCTCTGATATCGGGTCGTAGCCGGCAGTCAGTTTTGGGAATGACACTCTCCATTTCTTTGTCCAACTCATTCAAAGCCATAGCAAAGCTAGTAAAATTATACATCTGAAATTCAGAGACAAAAGATGACTTCACAATGTCTCCAGCTGCTAGTCTTAATACACAAGAAAGTTGCTGTCTATAAACAAGCATCCAAGTGCTTTTGTATTATTTAATCACTCAAGGAATACTCCAGATACCAGTAAAACCGCACTGTCAGGCAGGGTGTAGGTGATCCTTGGTGCTTCTGTTTAAGCAGGCCAGCATCCAATTACTCAGTGCACTATTTCTCCCTTAGCTTCTTTTTTCCAGCCCTATTTGCCCTGTCTCTGTAGAGAGATTTCCCCCTTGATTAACCCACTGAGGGCACCTTTTTTGTTCCACTTCACT